GCGGGGCGGGGTGGGGTGGGGGTCCAGTCTCTACCCCTGTCCCCACTCACCCCTCAGTCTCATCCCAGACCTCTGAACTTTCACCTCCTGAAGCCGGAGGATGGGGTAGCGCCTGTGGGTAAGGGGGCGAGTTCAGCTGGGGTCGGCCACTCAGCCACCCTGTGCAGGGCTGCCCCGGCCAGCCCCACGCACCAGCGGTCCCGGGGCGGTGGCACCACCGTGTTGGGCACTGGCAGATGCAGCTGCAGGTGCGAGCGCTCGGGCTCAGCCTCCTGCAGCAAGCCTTGCTGCTGCGCCTGCCTCTCGCAGAACAAGTTGAGTGCATCGATGAGGCCCAGGTCCACCATCTGCGACTGCGACCAGTCCGTCTTCTCAAGCGGCAGTGGCCCGCCAGGCAGCGTGGTGGGCACCAAGGGGCCCAAGTGGGCATCAGGCACAAAGCAGAAGGTCTGCAGTGTCTCGCAGAGCGTGCGTCTGGTCTGCTGGGCACACGCTGGCACCAGCGGCTGCTCGGCCTGGAGCTCCAAGGCAGCCGAGTCTGGGGTGGCCAAGTCTGGCCAGGTCACCAGCGAGGGCACCTCCAAAACATGCGAGAGCGTCTTGGAGATGCTTAAGGGCGGCCAGGAGGGGCCTGCGGGTGTCATAGAGACGCGTGCAGGCACCCCAGCCACCAGGGAAGCCTCCGAGGGGGCCTCCCTGGCAGTAGAGGAAACCTCTGAGGCCTCAGAGACGTTGGGCAGCACTACGGACAACTTGGCTACACACGGTGATGGTGGCTGCGAGGTCTCCCCCTGTGGAGGAGGTGGCCCATTGGGGAAGCACCTCACTCCCAAGGCCCAGCCCAAGGGAGAGCCTGCCATCCCCTGACAAGGAGAACCCAGTGGTGCTGCCCCTGGCTCCCACCTGCATAGGGAGACCCTGACAGACACATGGGGGGGAGGACACAGGAGGCACAGAGCTCAAGGAAGGCAAGAGCCAGCCTCCCATCCCCGCCCCGGCTCCCCCAGGACTTCTGGAAAGCCCCTGGGGAAGGCAAGAGGCTCTCCCATAGGTGGCCCACCCAGGCCCTGCTGGCCTAGACCTGCAGCTGCTGGATCATGTCCTCCAGCTTCTGGCAGCAGCGTTTTCGCAGTGCGTCCTTGGAGTCAAGGTCCAGTCCCTGGACCCAGGTCATCATCTCCTTGAACAGGAAGCCCTGTGGGTCCTGAAGGCCCAGCCCATCCAGCAGCTTGTTGAGGTCAGGCCTGAGACAGATGAATGTGGCTTACCTGGAGGCCCTCCTGGCTGGTGGCGAGGACAGGGCAGGAGCATGACTCACCGGCAGATGACCGGAGAGTAGAGGAGGTAGGACATGAGCTCCAGCACCACGTCGTGGGACTCCAGGGAGCAGGCCAGGAGCAGCTGCAGTGCCAGCATCACGAACTGCTTCTGAGTTCGGTCCTGAGCGCAGGTGAGGGCAATGCGGCTGGTGTGGGGGGGGGAGCG